CAGTGAAAGCAGGGGTTATACTGTGGGGGAGGGACATACAAAGCAACAAAGAAATAATCTTATAAATGCATTAGAAACAATCGCATGAAAGAAAAAAACATTTGAATACATATCTTAGGGTTCATTTCCCCATATTAATTATAAACTTTAAAGATTATAAAAAGTACATCTCAGAAGGAAGCTTATAGATATTTTTAATTGATATGATCAAGAGGAAATTCTAGAAGCATTTATTTACTTTCATTATTTCTCTTAATTTATCTGATGATGCTAATAATTTTTCAGGAATATAAACAGATGTAACTTTTCTGAAATGATTCATGCTGAAGTGATAAAATTATGGATTTCTCTTGAGAGTAGAGACAATTACAGTAAATTTATATTACAATAGAAATTACCTAAAGTCTCCACCAATGGGGAAGTGATTTTTCACATTCAGGATGATCTCTTTCCATTCATAACAGGGAGTTTTACAGCATTGAAGTTCCTAAAATAAAACAACGAAAACAAATCTTGCTAAATAATTATTTAAATACCCTAATTACAATATTAACTATTAATTATCCTTATTTATAAACCTTAATTATAATGCAAGCTTAAAAATATTTACAAGATGTCCAGTTAAATATTACACTCACAATTTATGTAATTCTTCCACCCCCCCCAAGTCCCATAATACTAAAATCTGTGAGGGAATGGACAAAAACTTTATTTATTAGTATATGGTTACCCACATTTGTAATTATAGCACTTGGGACAATATAGCAGGAGGACCTTGAATTTTAGCCAGCTATATAGCAAGAAATTGTCTTTAAAAATAAATTCCATAAAGATAGTAAAATACAGATAATTACCTTTGGACATGATTAATTAAACAGCAAATAATTACAACGGTGAACCAACTAGACACCATGTTGGAAATGAACTACATACAATTTTTGAGGGAGAGAAGTAGGGAGGAGAAAAACGGAGAGAATGAGGGAGGGGGGTGGCACTGTTCAAAAGTAAATGTACTAATTTCCTGACTTATGTAACTGTAACCCCTCTGTATATCACCTTTACAATAAAATTTAAAAACTTAAATGAAAAAGAATTTAAAATGCCTGCTGAAAAATCCATATAAATATTATAACTATATACACAAATGTATGTATATTCATCACTTACCCATTATAATGTGTGAATGGTTTTTGTTTTAGTTATTTTGAGGCACTATGACTGAACTCAGGACCTCATGTTTGCTAGGCAAGCATGCTATTGCATCCTCATCTTCACTTTTCTTTTCTTTTTGGGTCCGGTCGTGGGGCCTGAACTCTGGGCCTGGGCACTGTCCCTCAGCTTCTTCAGCTCAAGGCTAGCACTCTACCACTTGAGCCACAGCACCACTTCCGGCTTTTTTTCTTTTTGCTTATGTGGTACTGAGGAATTGAACCCAGGGCCTCAGGCATGCAAGGCAAGCGCTCTACCACTGAGCTACCTTCCCAGCCCCTCTCTTTTCTTTTTAACTTGTATTTCACATTAACTTTGCCTTGGCTAGCCTTAATTGTCCTACTTCTCCCTCTAGGCATGAACATCATCCTCTGTGAACTATGCTAAACATATTAAATTGATTAATATTATAAAACTATTTTTCAAAATAGTGTGTCTCAAATTGATCATCTTAAATTTTTTAATTGACCATCTTAAATTTTTTTAATTTTCATGGAAGACATAATATTTTGGAAATAATAAGCTATATGTATACGTGATACATCTAACTCAAGGCATAGTAGGTGTGTGTGTGTATATCTTTGAGTATGTGTGTTTCTGTATATAAAACTTGTGCTTGACTGTGTCATGATAATTATATTGTGGAGGCTATCCCTGACATAAGTATCATAATAAATACATAGAAAAAGATGAGACTTAAAAATTATCCAGGACTCATGTGTGTGTGTGTGTGTGTGTGTGTGTGTGTGTGTGTGTGTGTGTGTGTAAAATGCAAATACTAGATTTGGAATCTGGTTCTCAGCTGATGCTCTATTATTTGAGCCAGGCTTCCAGTATTACAGTTAGTTGGTTAATTCAAGATAGAGTCTTGCAGACTTTTCTACCTGGGTTGGCTATGAAGAACAATTCACTGGATCTAAGCTTTTTCAGTAGCAAGGATTATAGATCTGAACCACTGGCAACCAGTTTATCCAGAGGAATTCTATGGGGAAAGTGTTCCTAGAAATTTTGTATATATAAGAAGATAATGTCTTGCTTTATTTTATTTCTCCATTATTATCTAATCTACTATTCAGTGATCTAAGACCAAAAATATCCTTAAAACTGTGTATGGTAGCTATATGTTGCTGTAGAGAATTTAGTGAGTTGAGGACTCAAATGGTTTTTCTTTCTTGCTATTTTTTCTAACATATTTATAATATGATTTCTTTGTTGCTTTGTATGTCCCTCCCCCATGATATAACACCTGTTTTCACTGTATTTAATGTTGGTATAATTTGGGGAGGGGGGAGGGAAAAAACAAATTGTTTAAATAAGGATACAGGTGGACCCATTGCAACGAGATGTACAAGACTTTAGGTCAAAAAAGGAACTTTACAACTTTGGTGCAGGGAGGGAAGGGGGACTGGGACTGTGGGGGGAAGATGGGAAGGGATGGGAAGGGGAAACAAAGGAGGAGGCAACGATGCTTGATAAGAAATGTACTCTTTACCTTGGCTCATGTAATTGTAACCCCTCTGTACGGTATTTTCACAATAAAATTTTTTAAAAAATAAATAAATAAAAAGAAAAGTGACACATTTTCATTATTCACGAGGAAAACAGAAAATGGACAACATACATCTCAGTGGCAAATGCTAAGTTCCTGTTTTAGGTATCACTGTCTAATAAACCAGTCTCTCCATGTGGGCATCTCCATATGAGCTTCTCACTGCTCTTATACTACTAGTCTCCTTGAGCCTGTCTTTCTACTCACTATTGCCTTCCATACTGCAAATGTTTTATAATCCATGTAGAAATTTAGATATAAAAATTACAAAAATTTTTACATTGTTAACTATATATCCATGGCAGAAAATTGCATTTGGAGACGAGTGAATCTTAACATCACAACCATATTTATAGGAATCTAAATGTCCTTCTTCCTCATATTTTAGATGTGAACACCATCACCTTTCAATAAATGGCAGTATTACCATGAACTTTAAAATGAATTTGCTCTATTAACCTTCATTCTAAACAAAACATAAACATAGTCCCTTTAACTTAAATCACAAGTTCCCATGGGAAGAAATTTCAAAGATTTGGAGCCTTCTAAAGGCAAAAAAAAGAGAGGAAATAATAGCCATGCTTATGAGACTCAAAAGTCTAAGAATAGAAACAATCACATATAAATAAGTAAAAATTACTTACGATTGCTTTAAAATTTGTGACTTCTCCCTTTAGACCAAAAGCCAGTGTAGTACCTCCTAGTCCATCCCTAGGTTTTGAAATTAATAGCAGTGAAGCTTCAGCTTGATGGATGAAGCGACTAGTAAACTTCATAATTAGGATAAATTCATTTCTATTTAATGAAGATAAAAGAGGAAACAATTTATTAGAAAAGGTCAACTGATAAGCATTTATTCAATGTACACTATGTATCTGGTATCTACACTCTGAAATGCACTCACTTGTACAAAAATTTAAAGTCTGTAAAATCTAAATTTAACTTTCAAATATACACACACTTAAATTTTCTAACAGTGAACCACAGGAAATCATATATATATATATATATATATATAATATACACACACATACATGATATACGATACATATGTCTTATGCATAGATAGATAGATAGATAAATAGATAGATAGATAGATAGATAGATAGATAGATAGATAGATAGATAGATAGATCTTATGTATCATATATATGCTTTAAAATTGACAATATTTTTTGGACCAAAAGTGAGCATAGGGTCTCTTATTCCATTTTTAGGTTTTAAAATTAATAGATACATATATATGTATTTGTATTTGAATTATATATATTCATAGCATGTTTTGCTACTGTTTAGAAAAACCTTTTATTAAATTTTATTTTATTGTAAAGAATCTATACAGAAGGATTACAGTTACATGGGTAAGGTAAAGAGTACATTTCTTGTGGAACATTGTTACCCCTCTTTGTTTTTTCTCCTACTATCCCTTCCTTGCCCACCTCCCCCACTCCTCTCCCAAGAAGTTGTAAAGTTCATTCCCAACATATTGTTTTATGAGTATCATTGGAAAAACTCTTTTTATTATTATTATTGGTTTTGGTTACATAGAAACTGTGTATGAAAATGTATTAGAAAATTTAGAACTTAACAAATACCTAAACAGCAGTTAAAAATAAATTGAAGGTCAAATTCAAATAAAAGTAGCTAAGTAGGAATGTTTGTTGAGAGAAGTCTTCAATTAAAAGAAGAAATAAGGAAACAATATCCATTTCTCTTAATTTTCAGCTTTATAGAACACACTTGCAAAAAACAAATCAAAGGATTTGGAGAAGGTTCTATTCAGCACTTATGAAATGAAAATGACTGTGTTCTAGCAGCCATGAAGGCTCTGAGTTAAAATCCCAGTTCCCTCCTTCCCCCAAAACGAAAATAAAACTTATAACTTCATATAGTGGGCAAGTTTGTTTATTTTTCATGAGTTTTCTTCTGGTATTTTATTTATAATAAATGAGTGAATGGATATTGTTTTCATTTGGATTTAATTTAGCTTAGATGTAGCCCCATAATGAATAATCTGCTTTTGCAAATTATATACCACATGTACCACATTAGCATGGAGTAGTAACTGAAGAAAATTAACACAGGCTAATGACAGAAATAAAGAACACTGTTGAAACTGGATACCCAAATGTTTTAAATGAAATTTAAAATGGCTTCTATTCCTAATTTGAGTTTGACATACTAAAGGCTATAATTCACAAAGTAGCTAAAATTAATGTTCAAGTAGAACCAAAATAGGTCAGGTAGTTATAATTTACCAAATTTAGTAAATAAAATCCAGGTAAAGTTCTGTAGTGGTTATCAAATTGGTCAACTCTTGTTAAACTGACACAGCTGTTTTCAAATCATTTTTTGTATTATTAAATAGGAGTATTTTCCATCATTGGAACAAATCAACATAGCAAATCTTATTTTTGATCTATGAAGACTCATATTGAAATCATACTGAATTTCTCAAATCATTCCTGTGTTTTTCTTTTGTGATTTTTTGGGGGATTGGGATAGTTGTAGAAACATTAAACAAGTACCATAAGAATATAATTAGCTAAAAATGAAATTGCTATACTATTACCACTATTGGGAGGTACAAGCATTCATATACATTGTATATCTTAGATCAATATATTTCTTTTTAAATACTATGTACACATCCATGCACAATGACCATGAGGTGATAAAGGAAAATTGGAGCTTCTTTGAAGAGATATTTTTAAACTTTTGCTCAATTGTTCTTTACTCTCTCAGAGTTTCTAAAATTTCTATAATGACATTTATAGGCAGAACAACTATACAAAATGATATGATATTAAAAATGTATAATTTAGTGTGTAATAGTTCTGATTGCTGCAGGAAAAAGAATTGTAGAATATAATGTTATCTCTGTGGCCTACACACATGTTAATTAATTAAACGTATACATAAAACTGCTGTTTATGCTATTTGGATTTTTAAAAACAAAATTAGTAAGAATTTCAGAAATATAACTTTATCTTTGTGATTGTCTTTCATTATATTTTATCCATTTAAAAATATGTCGCTCTTTTACAATTATAAAAATATTAAATGTCTAGAGTGAATATACTCAGTGAAGTAAAATCTTAAATAAAAACTCACTTCGGAAGAATTGTAATAGTGTTCCCTTCCTGGGTGAGAGAGAAGTCAGTAGCATCTCTCCCAACAAATGTAGCAGTATATATTAAAGTTTTCGTGCTTGGATTTTTCAATAGTATCTATGCAGAAGTAGAAAGGATACAAATAAGTTGTTGAATTTAAAAACTATATAATTGCATATTTTTAAAATTGTTATCAAATAGTTATACAATCTAATCAGCAACTCTATCTTTTCTTATATAGCTGTCTTCTATATAGCTTGTCTATCTAGTTTATCTGAAGTCTGGAGGAAGAAGGAGTTTTCAACAAAGGAAGTGAAAGATGAAAATAACCTGATTATCACAGACTTGAAGACTAAAATTAATGAATTACATTTCATTTTTCTTGCAATGGGGGATTTTTAACTTGGAACTTACAGTTGCAATAGATGGATTTTTAACAGAGAACTTCCATAATCCAATTCAGAAAAAGATTAGTCTGTCTGCCCAGTGTAGAAAGGACTGTAGAGTTAAAGACTTAGCTACAGGCTAAATGTGACAGTTTAGGTAAGCATTGAATGTTTAAGAGTTAACTATAATGAATTACTATTTAATGTAATTGATACTCCTGTCTCCGTATAGCTTAAATAGAATATTTATAATTCTTCTAAAATTTTATTTTGAAGCCAAAAGTCTGTTCCATTATAATTACAGCTCAAGTGCATTTAGCATCAAAAGTCCTTGAATATCATAGCAGTTAGGAAATTGTCACCATAAATATTGCCAAGCAAATTCTCTGGAGGATTTTTCTGATAAAAGTAAAAATAAATAAAATTAACAGAGAAAATCAGATCTCAATTTTTTCTAAGAAAATAAATTAGAATAGGAGACTTACCCTTCCCTAAATTAAGCCATCTATACTTTGAGGGGAAAAAAATCTGAATATTCCTGATTTTTAACTAAATCCAAACATCAGTCATTGAAGACCATCATAGTGGATTACTGAAGATCAAATATGGGTAAGTTTTACATCAGAAGTAAGTAGTTAGCTCCCTTGCTGATGAAACTTTCAGATGAATATTTAAAATAGTCTTAGGAAAGTATAAATTTTGTTTAAGCCAGAAGAATCTTAATTTTCATAAAATGGAAAAAGGAAAGAAGGAGTCATCCTTTTCTTATAAGCATTGATTCTTGGTGATTATTATGAAATCTTTTCCATTTTTCTGACCTTTACTTTCCTTTTACAATTAAGTTTGACAAGGAGCATTCAGTTTTTAATAAAACCAAAACACTTAGACCCTTCGTTTTACTTCTTGTTACTTTTGAGCTAAGAATGAAACATTTAAAAATCTCTTGTAAGTCTTTAATTCCTTATGTCTTTTGGCCCGAAGACCTCTTACCTGGCCTACTGCAGTGTCATATAGAGTACAAAGAAAGGGTACCACCCTCTTGGGGAGAAATGCAGGGAGCCTTTCATACATGTAAACACAAAGCATTAGCATCAAAATGGGATTTGGATCACAAATATCGGTGGCCTAGTTTCAAAGGAAAGAAATATGTTAGAAAGTATATAGAAAAAATGCACAAAAGAGGAAAACATAGTATGCAATTATTAGATTACTTTAAGATATTTGTTATGTCAAAAGATGAGGATATTGAAAAATATATAGAAAACAAACAATTATTTTGAAGGAGAGTTGTTGACCTAAGGGTTAAAAGATGAATTAGACATATTGTAATTAGAACATTGGCCTCATAAAACTCAAAAGACTCCATAAAAGTGAGCCAGCACTTGCAATAATATGACTAAAGTAACTAAAGTGTCATGTTTGAGTATCTAATTCATGAAAAGAAAAATGACAAGTACACAAACCACTGAAGTAGCAGATGATGAGATTTTTAGTCAATAGCTCATGGGAGACAATGTCACAATGTCGGAAGTAGATCTCAAAGAATGTTTGGCCTTTCAATAAATGTCTAGTATGAGGGAGAGGTTGTATTGTATCAGAAAGGTTAGCATCCCAAAGCAAGGATATAGAGAAACACCATCTTTGTTAGGAAAGAAGTAGAAATTGGACCATGTCTAAGGTAAGGGATAAGCAATTTCATAAAGTACAGATAAGTTCTGGGGTCATACTGTGGAGGTTCTGGAGGCCAGAATAAGGGATTTCATTCAGGCAGGGTATATGGTAGTTAGGGAAATACTTTGTTAGAACAGCCAAAACTAGTGGAAAATGTAACTACAGCAATACATGAGATAAATGAGTGATGGTGTTTAAAATTGATTGGAAATAAAATCCAAAGGTACAGAAGAATAATAGCACAGAGAATAAACATACCAAAATGGAAAGTGAAGCCAAAAGCAGAATCAAGAGCAAAAGAAGGTAGGCTTCCAGCCATTTATGGAGTGCCTCTGAGCTCTTAGAAAAAGGTAGAGGAAGTAGAAAGATTATAGCATGTTTATAGCAAAGAAGTATTGGAAATGGTGTGAGGCAGGTACTCAAAGACAAAACAAAAAAAACAAAACAAAAAAAACATCACAAGTAAGTAAGGAACTCTGTCATTGCCATTGTAAAGGTAACTCTCTGCATTTCTGCAAAATGGATATGAAAATTTCCTATGACTTAGTGGCATATACTCAAGTCAGCAACTGAAAATGACCTGGACCAAGCCTGGAAATGCAAATAGAGTTAGCCAAGATCTAATGTTTTATACAATCGATTGTGAAATTTGGCAGCAGTTTCCAGAGAATGACGATAGCCCCTTTGGCCATCTGTTAGTTTACATTTCCTCATGCACACTTGTCCTTTGGAAGAAGGAAAGGCTTTGTCAACTAGGAGCATGTCTTTTCAGTGAAGGTGTGAAGTAAAATAAAATAAAATTTTGAGGAAACAACTATGTCTTTGCAGGGTAGTTCTGCTTAAGCGTATGATTTGAGGAACACATAACCTTATACTGAATCCCAAAGTTTCTCACCAGTAGTCTCTCATGCTTCGATAATTATTTGTGATAAGAACAAAAGTAAAATCAAAACACAAGATATAGATCTGATCTAAGGAACATCAATTGGCCCTTTTCCCTTTATGAAAATAGTGCTTATCTATTGGATTAACAAAAGAGAAATAAACTTCAGTAGTTTGGATGCTGAATGCCCCTCAGATGCCCATGTGTTAAAGGCTTGATTCCCAGCATGGTACTACAGGAAGGCGATAACTTTAAGAAAGGATGATTAGATCCAATACACCCTCAATTCTACCTTTACTTTGGCCTACATTTCCATTAATATTTAATCAAGTGAGTCAAACAGCTATCATTTTTGGGGGGGAGGGGTCAGTTGTGGGGCTTGAACTCTGGGCCTGAGCTCTTCAGCTCAAGGCAAACGCTCTAACTACTTGAGCCACAGTACCATTTCTGGTTTTCTGTTGATTTATTGGAGATAATAATCTCACAGACTTTCCTGCCCAGGGCTGACTTTGAACTGTGATCCTCAGATCTCAGTGTCCTGAGTATCTATCCTTATGTAACAAGAAAAAAACTTAATAAAACAGCATATATTTTGATTATTATTATTGAAAACTTGGTGTGAAAGGCTAAATGAAATTACTATTTACAGGTTAACATATAATAAAAAATGTATATAGGTACTATAATCTCTACAAAAACATATTTATTGCAAAAACAAAGCAAAAGTGCCAGGCATTGGGAACTCATAATCTTAGCTACACTGGAGGCTGAGATCTGAGGATCAAGGTTCAAAGCCAGGCTGGGAAGGAAAGCCTGTGAGACTATTTAATTTCTAACCACCAAAAATCCAGAAGTAGAACTGTGGCTCAAGTGGTAGAGTACTATCCTTGAGCAAAAGAACCCAGTGACAGTGCTCAGGTCCTGAGTTTAAGCCCCAGGAGTAGCTAAAAACAAAGGCAAAACCAAAATTTTTCATGTTGTGACATTCAATCAGGAGATAATTCAACATCTACATTCTAATAATACTTTTCCTATTATTTCAGTTTTGATTGTAGGTATATTAATAATGTTCTCAAGCGTGATTCTTATGGTTTCTGATATCTGGACTAGAAGTATTTCTTTAATATGTATAGACAAGTGTGTATATCTACTAAAATTATACTATCAGTTGTATAATTATATACAACTTGGAATAATTAAACATGACTTTTTAAATATGGAGTAGATTTCTCAGGAGACATATTTCCATTTCCATACTTCAGCAACATCCCTCTTTCAATTCAGATTTAGAATCTTTGAACTAAGATATGAACAAAATAATAATGAATAAGGGAACAAAAGAAACTCATAAAATGTGTAGATGAATGTGTGCTGCAAAAAGGTACCCACCTGTATGTTCAAGTCGAAGTTAATTTCCCGAAGACTGTTCACAATAATTAGGCAATTGTGTAGATAATGTTCAGCACGTACTGGTTGTGTATACATATGTACAAAATAAGGTTCAATCTGAAAAAGAAAGTAATCAAACCTATTATTGACAGAATAAAAACTGCTGCTTTTAAAATGTCATCTGTAGTTCAACAAGGAATTATTGAAATCCTAACATTTGTAGTAGATTATAGCAATCCAAAGTCAAAAATAAAAAAAATGTCAGCACTACCCAAATTCATGTTTTTTACTTAACACACTTAAAAGATGTGCTCTAAATAAAAGTACTTCAATTTTAACCATCAAATTCTCTAAAATAATACAAGACTCTTATGCATTGAAATAATACTTACCAAAAATGGGCAATAAGATCCCAACAAAGTTGCAAAAACAAGCCCATCTGTAAGGTCTACATCAAAATTTATTATCCATCTTTCACCAGGAACAAATCCTATTTTGAAAATGAAACAGAACAGATATTACAGTATTTTACTTGATGATAAGATATAGAAATTTGAGCAATGGTCAAAGAATACTTTACCATTTCTTAGAAAACAAAAACATAATTTTGGAAAGAAAAATAATATAAAAACATCAGAACATTAATACTATAAAATATATCTGTAAAATTTAAATAGTTGCTACAAGCCTAATTACAACATGAAGCATTTTGAAAAGTACCCTACCATGCTTTATTGAGAGAAAAGTCTACAATAGAATGGAAGAAAGACAGCCTCTTCAGTAAATGGTGCTGGCAAAATTGGTTAACTACTTGTAGAAAACTAAAGCTAGATCCTTATATATTGCCCTGCACCAGAATCAACTCCAAATGGATCAAAGGCCTCGGAGTCAAAGCAGACACTCTGAAAACATTACAGGATGGAATAGGAGAAGCCCTAGGTCTCCTTGGCTCCGGCCGAAATTTTCTGAATAGAGACCCAGAAACACAACAAATCAAAGAAAGGTTGGACAAATGGGATTGCATGAAGTTGCAGAGCTTCTGCATGGCAAAGGACATAGCTAGCAAGATCAATAGAAAGCCCACGGATTGGGAGAAGATCTTCACTAGCCATACAACAGACAAGGGTCTCATATCTAAAATATACTCTATGCAAATCAAAACAACATTGAGATACCACCTCACCCCAGTTAGAATGGCTATAATCAAGAACTCTAACAACAACAGATGCTGGAGGGGATGTGGACAGAAGGGAACCTTACTGCATTGTTGGTGGGAGTGTAAACTTGTTCAACCACTTTGGAAAGCAGTATGGAGGTTCCTCCAAAGACTTCACATAGAGCTCCCCTATGACCCAGCAATCCCACTTTTGGGCATTTACCCAAATTTTTACAAACAAGACCACACTAAAGCTACCAGCACAACTATGTTTATTGCAGCATTATTTACCATAGCTAAGATATGGAACCAACCCAGATGCCCCTCAGTAGACGAATGGATCAAGAAAATGTGGTATATATACACAATGGAATTCCATGCCTCCATCAGAAAGAATGACATTGCCCCATTTGTTAGGAAATGGAAAAACTTGGAAAAAATTATATTAAGTGAAGTAAGCCAGGCCCAAAGAAACATAGGTCTTATGGTTTCCCTTATTTGCAATATCTAGTATATGTATGAGTCAAGCGGAAAAGGTCAGATAATGTGATGTTAGGAAAATGAACCCTTAGATATGTATTTTAATGCTTTTTTATTTCATGCATTTGTTTCTAACACATTCATAAGATTATCTCTTAGATGCTTTGTATGTCCCTCCCCCAAGTATAACCCCTGCTTTCACTATATTTGATGTCAGTATAAATTGTGGAGGAGATGGGGAAAACAAGTCGTTTAAGGATACAGGTGGACCTGTTGCAACAATGAGAAGTACAAATTTTCATGTCAAAAACGAGCTTTACAATGTCGGTGGGGGGGGGGGGGGCTGGGAAGGGAGGTGAAGGGTAAACAAAGGAGGAGGCTGCAATGTTTGGTAAGAAATGTATGCATTATCCTGCCCATGTAATTGTAACCCCTCTGTACAGTATGTTCACAAAAAAATTAAATTAAATTAAAAAAAGAAAAGTCTAATATTTGAAAATTAATTCATTCTGTTTAATTATTTTACATTCAAATCTTTTGCCAATGTTCATCAACAGACATGAATAAGAAGGCTCAAAAACATGCTATTGCTTTCTTACAGTTTCAGTAGCAATCTTTATTGAATGGAGAAATACATCTACCTATAGAGAGTACTGAAAAGAATGTAGATTTATGGCTTAAAGGAATCTGAACTAATCTATAAAAGACACAAGATATAGCCGTGCAATGGTGGCTTATGCCTATAAGACATCCCAGAAAAGCCCATGAACCTAATCTCCAATTAACCAGGAAGAAGTTGGAAATAAAGTTGTGGCTCAAGTGGTAGAGTCTAGCCTTGAATGCAATGGCTAAGAGATAGCACCTGAGTTCAAGTTCCAGTATTGGCTTACATAGACAAAATAAGTTATATATACATATGTGTGTGTGTGTGTGTGTGTATAAGATGGAAGTTATAAAAAGATTACTAATAATAGAAATCGTTACTATATTGACGTTGGAACAAAAAGTGAAAGTATGTGGATACTGAGTAAATATTAGGAAAACTGTCCTAAAACAAGTAGACAGATGATTTTAAACAAGAGATAATTGATTCTATTGAAATTGCAGGGGCTCACACTTGTAATCCTAGCTACTCAGGAGGCTGAGATCAGAGGATCATAGTTTGAAGCTAGCCCAGAAAAGAAAGTCTATGAAATTCTTATCACCAATTACTTACCAAAATGAAAAACAAAAAAGGTACAAGTGAAGCTGGGCTCAAATTTCTCAGAGACAGTATCCAAAGCACTGAGTTCAAGCCCCAGGACCAGCACAAAATAAAAAAGTCCAAGATTCTTCAGTTTTAGATAAATTACCTGATATAAAAGGGGGGAGTATCCATAGTGCCATCAAATTCTTTACTTCTATTTTCTGGGATGAAGCAACAAAGATAGGAAAAATAGGACACGTTCATCGCATTTATGTGAACTTCACAAATTAAGATTGCATTACAACAGGAAGTGCTAAACTTTGGGGGTGGGTTGTTATGAATAGAACCCAGGGCTTTGGACATACTAGGCAAGTACTCTACCACTTGAGCTATACCCTCATTCTCAAACTTAAGGTTGGTTTGAACCACAGATGTCCCAGACCTTTAACACAAATCCGCTGGCTACTTTTTCACCTGTGATTCTTTGACATGAAACACTTATATCGGATCTCTATAGCACATTATCCTACTAAAAATTTTAGTAAACACAGATCACAAGAATTTTTCAAGTAATACAGAACAAAATAACACTTTTATATATTTCGTGACATAAACTTATAAATAACTTTGATATAAGATGTAATAATATCACAGCAATAATTCTAATTCCAAATTGTTAATTCTCAGAATGATAACGTAAGTATACCTCTCGAGGTATAACTGACAAGTAAAATTGTATTGTGAGACTTTTTATATAATTACACATTGTGTAATTCTTCACATGATCATGCTAGTTTGCATGCTAATAACTTCACATAATTAACATTGAGTGTGTGAAACACACATTTTATCATCATCTATTATAGACACTAGAGAAAGCATACATTCCCTTAAAGGCATTTAGCCTTCAGTCTAAGCTAGTTTCAAATGTCCTCGAAGGTTTGCAATTCAATCCAACCATGGAAAGGTTTGCATTACAATCCAATCATGAAAGAGTATGTATAAAGTCTGAGTAAAAGCCACGATCTTACCTCAGGTCTGAACTATGGGGAACATGTTCTACAATTTCACTTCTTTGTTATTACAGACTTGCAGGAAAACTCTGTGTGTCTGAAACTATTGCACCTTGAAGCTTTATGTTCTGGTACTCAGTGTGTACTTGGCCTCTACCAATTCACTAATAATCCTATCTCCATACTTAACGTCTACCACATCTGAGCATTATTATAATTATCTCCTTTTGTCTCAAGCACTTGCTCTACCTTGGTTTTTGTTGAAACAAAAGCACTTTGTTTCCCTGAAAGCACAGCTTTCTAAAAAATTCAAGAAAAATCAGAGATTCACTGTCTGTGTGAATTTGTCATTGTAAAGTGGAACAAAGGTTTTATTTTTTTTTTGTTTCTAGATTTTATTTCTCCACATAGAAACCAGTGGCATCTACTTTTATTCAACCCATCAAAACATTGGAACTATATTTATATTACATGTCAAACACCAGTAGGCATGGACTGCTGTTGCCAAACATCACTTTCAGTGAGAATAGAATAGCAATGATCATCCAGAACAATGTTGGAGAGAAGTAAAAACAACACCTGAAAGCTCTTCTCTAATCTCTCATCCCCATGCTGTGTCTTGTCATTTATATCCAAGGGTGCTGCCAGTCACTCTCTTCCCTTTGCTGTTGATTTTCTCTGATGGCTCTCTTGATAAAGGCTATTGTTTGTAATTATACTCCTTCTAAAAGTTTTGTTATCTGAAGTGAGTAAATTGGCAGCACTGGCATCTAAAGGATACTTACCAGAAATGGAGAATTTAGGCCTCATCCAGTACTCACTGAAATACAAAACCAACTTAATAAAATACCTAGGCGATTTATGTTCACATTTCCATTTGAGAATTGGAAATCTAAGGTTTTGGAAAGGGAATAAGTAATCTGACATAGCCACTATTTGTCAGGAAACACATAATTGAAGTGATTCTCAACATATTTTTAAAATTTTAACTTGGAAGTTACATCTTAGTTCTACACCACATTATTTCAGATCCCCAGGTATATTAAAGTAGTAATGATAGTGCTAATCTTAAAGAGTATTGTGGATTGGGGACATAGCTAGTAAGTATAAAATTTAATTATTTAATGCTCTGAAAAAGTAAGGATGTATAAGCACCTATTTTTATAACTATCATAAATATCATAATTGGCATATAAATTCTATTTTAGTTGATTATAGCAACACATTTTATAATAGCTTTATTGAGAAATAATTTACATAACATAATTTCATCCAATTTAATTATTCAATTCACTGTTGTCTAGGATATTTGGAATTGTACAATTGTTATTACTATCTACATTCAGAATATTTTAATATTTAGTTGGCATGTAATTCCCTATTTTATGGGGTAGAGTGTAACATTTCAGTACATGAAAATAATGTGTGATTATCAAATTTAGATAATTAGCACATCTATTGTATCAAAAATTTATAATTTCTTTGTGTTGAGAACATTCAAATCCTCTTCCAAGTATTTTTAAATAAATATCTAAGGAGCAAATTATCCAATAAAAATAGGCAAATAAAGCTTGACACAATGTCTCACACCTGTAATCCTAGCTGCTAAAAAGGCTGAGATCTGGTTCACAATTCAGAGCTGGCCTACACATAAA